ACAGTGCTCTTTTGATGTCAGGTGGAGTGATGCCAGCCAGCAGGTACAAACTGTTTAGCCTGGTAGGCTTCAGATATTCTGTGATGTATCAGAAGTAACCATTCAGAACGGGGTCAAGGTGGTTAATATATGCATACAGGGCATGCGTACTCAGCAGAGAAGCTGAGAACCAGAGCAGTGTTTCAGGTGGTTAAAGGGCTAGCCCCCCATTTTGAGTTGGCGAGCTTATACAGAATGCTGCTACACCTGCTCACCTTTGCTTTTGTCTTTATGGTGCGTTCTTTGTTTGACTGAGGGTGACTCCAAGGTAAACTGGATTTGGACAGTGGGAAAGTGGGGTCCTGGGCCACGTAATGTTGAGTTGGTGGTTGATCTCATGGTTTTTCAGATGGAAGGCATCGCTGGGTTGGCTCAATGTAGTATGAGGTTAGGCCAATGAGTACCCTGCTTACGGATTTTTCAACATGGTCAGAACTAGCGTTTTGGGGTGTTATGCATAGGTCGTCTACACAGATGAAACCTTTTGTTTCCAAACTGATTTGCTGGTCATTCATATAGATGTTATATAATAGCGGTGCAAGTCTGCTTCCTTGAGGGAGGCTATTAATATGTCACCTTCATCTGCTTTGCTTCCCATCCAGTTTGACAAATAAAGTCTGTTTTTGAGTAGGGTTCATATAAGGTGTGGATCTTTTGTCATTTCCAGGGTCTTGTAGGAATCATTGGTGGTTAACTGTATCATAGGTGGCTGTTAGCTCAATGAACACAGCTCCAGTTTCATAGTTGGTAGGGTCGGAAGGGACCTAAGCAGGTCATCAAGTCCAAACCCCTGCCACGGGCAGGAAAGGATGCTGGGGTCAAACGACCCCGGCTAGGTGATTATCTAGCCTCCTTTTGAAGATCCCCAGTGTAGGGGCAAGCACCACTTCCCTTGGAAGTTGGTTCCAGCTCCTAGCTGCCCTGACTGTGAAGTAGTGCCTCTTGATGTCTAGACTTCATCCACTCTCAGTCAGCTTATGGCCGTTATTCCTTGTAACTCCCGCCAGTGTTTGGGGGAACAGGGACTCTCCCCTTGCCAAGTTGTCCACATCCCTCCTGAAGTGCGGTGCCTAGAACTGGACGCAGTACTCTGACTGCGGCCTGACCAGTGTCGCATAGAGCAGGAGGATCACTTCTTTGGACCTGCTCGTGATGCATCTATGGATGCATGACAAGGTATGGTTAGCCTTCCTGACCACGTCCCCACATTGGCGGCCCATGTTCATCGTGGAATCAATAATGATCCCAAGATCCTTTTCTGCCTCTGTGCTGACAAGAAGGGAGTTCCCCAGACTGTAGGTATGCTGCTGGTTTTTCCTCCCCAGATGCAATACCTTGCACTTGTCCGTATTGAAACCCATCCTATACTCATCCGCCCACCTCTGTAACCTGTCCAGATCTAGTTGCAGCCTGTCCCTCTCTTCTAGTGTGCTCACTTCTCTCCACATCTTAGTGTCATCTGCGAACTTGAACAAGGTGCTTTTCACCCCCTCATCCAAGTTGCTGATGAAGCTATTGAATGGTGGGGGCCCGAGGACTGAGCCTTGGGGAACCCCACAACCCACATCCCTCCAGGTCGAAAATGACCCATCCACCACCACTCTCTGGGTGCGGCCCACCAGCCAATTTGCGACCCATCTGACTGTGTAGGTGTCAACACCACAGTTGCCTAATTTTTTAATGAGGATGGGGTGAGAGACAGTGTCGAAGGCCTTCCTAAAATCCAGAAAGACTACGTCCACCATGACACCTGTGTCCAAGGCTTTTGTGACCTGGTTGTAGAAGGCAACCAGGTTGGTCTGACAGGACCTGCCTCCAATGAACCCATGTTGATTGCCTCTAAGCATAATCTCCCCTGCCGGTCCCTCGCAGATGTGCTCCTGGATAATTTTCTCAAAGAGCTTTCCCAGGACTGAGGTAAGACTAACAGGCCTATAGTTTCCTGGGTTCTCTTTCCTCCCTTTTTTTGAAAATGGGGACCACATTGGTCCTTTTCCAGTCCTCTGGGACCTCACCAGAACACCATGAGCGCTCATAAAGCCGCGCCAGGGGTTCCGCAATGACCTCTGCCAATTCCCTCAGCACTCTGCGGTGGAGATCATCGGGACCTGCTGATTTGAACACGTCTAGTCCCTCCAGAAGTTCCCTGACTAGGTCCTCACTGACCCTGGGCCTGGCTGTGCCTCTCCTGGGTCCGTCTGGAATCCCAGTGTGGGGGATGTCCCTGTCCCTGCTCAGAAAAATGGAAGAAACAAAACTGTTAAAGAGATTAGTTTTGTTGCCTCGTGCTACCACCAGATTACCAAGCATGTCCTGCAGAGGCCCCACGTTACTTGGTACCTTCTTTTTACCCCCATGTATTTAAAAAAGGACTTCTTGTTATCTTTGATCCGAGTTGCTAGTCCCAGTTCCATCTCCACTTTAGCCTTCCTAACAGCCCCCCTATAATCTCGAGCAATGGAGGTATAATCCTCCTTGGTGATGGCCCCTCCCTTCCACTGGGTGTACGCCTCCTTTTTGGCTTTGTGAGGTTCCTGGATGCTTTTGGTGAGCCATGGGGGCTTTTGAGTGCTCTTGCCCCCTTTGATCCGTGTGGGGATTGTCACCCTTTGGGCTTGGAGGATCATCTCCTTAAGGAACGACCACTCTTCCTGGACTCCCAAATCCCCTCCCCTCCGGGACCTCAGTGCCTCCCTGACTAGTCTCCTTACCTCATTGAAATCTGCCCTCCTGAAGTCCAGGGCTGCTGCCTTGCTGCAGGCCTTTGACACCCTGTGCTGGATGGTGAATTCCAGTAGGCAATGATTGCTGTCGCCCAGGTGGTCGAGCACCTGCAGTCCCCTCACCAGGTCGTTGCCTGTGGCCAGGACCAGGTCCAAAAAGGCATTTCCCCTGGTGGGACTGTGCACCTCCTGGGTTAGATGGAGGTCCTGTATCTCGGCTAGGAACCTATGTGAGTGCTCAGACCTGGCTGACTGCTCTTCCCAGCAAATGTCTGGGTAGTTTAGGAAACCCATGATGACTATGTCCCTTGACTTAACTGCCTCCGCGAGCTGACCAGAGAATTCCCGGTCCAGCTCTTCCCCTTGGTTAGGTGGCCTGTAGCAGACCCCCACTGTTAGGTCCCTTTCCCCTCGACCCCCTTGTATTCTGACCCAGAGCACCTCAGTCTGCCCTACCTCAGTGATTCGGCCACTTTCAAAACCATCCTCAGTATGTTGAGTTAGATTGAGCAGTTGGCTCATTTTTGATTTTCCAGAGTGAAAACTGCCCGGTTTGGTGTTTATTCATGTATGGGGCAAGTCAGTTCAGTATTAGTCATTTGTACAATTTGTATGCGTAATGTAAGAGAGGTAGGTCTGAAGCTCTTTGGGTCAGATGGATCTTTCTCTGGCTTTAAAAATGCTACTATGGGGGCCATAGCAGAAGTGTTCACATTGTGACCCCATCAGGTAATACCTAGTAATACCTGCAAATTCTGCTAATTCTCCAAACCATGATGTCTATCTTTAAAAGAGTGAATTTCAACCGTTTTAGACTCAAGGCACTCTGAAAAATGCTAGGTCTTCATTTACCACTCATTTTTTAACTATGAAAAAATAATATGGCAATTCTGATGCAAAGAACTCAGAAAGACTGCATAGGGTGATCATGTTTTGACATTGCGTGTTTGTATTTGAAATCTCTGGATTTATCTTGTGAATCCTGTGTAGGTGTTTGCACACCTAACTGTGCTAGTATTGCACAGTACCCTGAAGCATCCTTAAAAGGATTTTGTGGTACCCTGGTGGAGAATCACTGTTATAAAGCAACAGCATTTCCCTGCCTCCATTCTGGTTGTGAAACTTTAACCATGCTACAAACTGTAAATCTGATCTTTGGCGAGATTCCATCAATAGCATCTGAGACTAATTTTGGGACAGGGGCCCAATAAAGAGATACGACTCAGCACCAGCTCACTGTATAGCAAGTGTCCACAGGCTAGTTTCCTTTGCTGCTCACTCCTCCTTTCATTTTGTGTAAGCTTATTCTTAATATTCTTTTTTGAACAGTATCCACCCAGTAACGTCTGGAACACTTCCCTGAATTTTTTTCTCCTTGCTTCTAGATTAAGTCAAGAAGGTGTAAAGAACAAAGAAATTCCCAGTCTCTCTTATAGTCAACACCCTGTGCTCTTCAAGTCCAGCTGACTTCACTAACTAGTTATTAAACATTATTTTACTTTCCCCCCAGATTTTCAGAGCACCACATTACTATATTTTTATACTAGCAACTCATAACTTCCTTGTAAAAAGTGTTAGATTTCACACAGGTGGAGCTTTGTCGACAGAGGAGGGGACAGGTGGGGCTTTAGTTACCTAGGAAAGTGTAAGACTAATCAAATTTGTGGAATGAACAGATTAGCTGGATGATTTAGTAACAAAAATAAGCAGTAAAATAATCAAGGGCAATAAAAGTTATTTTAAGTATAACCATTAAGTTGCAGAATAAACCTGTCAGAGATTAAAAGAAAATAATACATTCTTATCCTTGAGAACTATGGTTCAGGGTCCCTACTGGCTTCTAGAAAATAACTCTTTATTATTTTGCACTTGACGTTAGAAACTTCTGGGTGAGTTCCCAGTCTCCCCTCCCAACCACAACCTGGAAGCTTATTCCTTTGGGACTGTTTACGACCAGGTGCAGTGAATTTCACAAGTAAAATGGAACAATGAGCACTGTAATGTGAAATTTAGCTTCTTCCACTAGAAATGTCAAAATTACATTTTAAAAAAATCTAAATATTATGAAAGGTATTCTTTTTGACAGATCCAAAGCCAGAGGCCAAATTAACCTTGTCTGCTCCAAAGAACAAACAAACCAGCCAATTTAGTCAGCAATCTGAAAAAAAGATCTACCACAAATATTTTATAGATGTGCCATTAGTTTTTCTAGCAAATATCTTCCTGCATTTTAAATACCTTTCACTTTCAGCAGTCTGCATAGTTTCCAGTTTAGAGTGAGTGCCTCTGTTAAAACCTTTCACTTCTTGCTCCTCCAAAGACTCCAGCAATCGAATGACATCTTTATTTACGCCTCTTCGTTTTGCCAGAACAAGTGGTGTTGCACCTTGATGGTTGCTAATATAATGCAAGAGATATTGCATGATTACTACTGAGAATTAACCTCGTCAGAGCTCCTAATTACAGATTGGTCTCATGACATTAGGCAATAAATGAAACACAGGATGGGTGGATCCTGCTACCACTATCTTAAAAAAATACAGAGGTGGATTACTTTTGCTATCTTTGGATTAAGAATGGTCAGCAAACAGATGTTTGCAATAAAAACAGGCAATGATCCTGGCTGGCCAATATTCTGATACGAGATCACAGGAGCTATATTAGACAAGCATGAACAAAACTCCCAAGGGACATTCACTAATGTCTGCCATTTTTCCTCTACTGGGATATAAGTGCAGAAAAACAAAATAACCTTGGTTAATTCTAACTGTATTTAATAAAACAGCTAGCTAGTTAGTTCTCTAAGTCCCTGTGTTAAAGCACTGGTATCTAACAGCTGCTAGAAGCTAAGAAGAAATAATATACAATATTTAAAAGTAGGACTGAATCACAGGCATTGAGGGAGGGGGCAAGCACTGAATGGCAACACTGTCTACCAAAGAGTATGGTGAAAAAACTAGGGCACAGATTTACTGTATTTCCTTTGTTCTTTATAGTAGAGAAATTGAAGCATCAGGACCAGGGTACATACAATTCTAAAATAAATAAATAAATAAATAGCCATCAATGTGAGATTGTTGTGTGGTACCACACACACCCAACCTGCCTGGCTGGCCAAACCAGCCATCAGCTAATCAGAAGCAGCACCTGTGCAAAACCTATCCAAGAGCTGTTGCTTGTATTTGTCTTTCACAATGCATATGATCAACAAAAGTGGGCCCATTTTATTGTTCTTGTCCAGTTTTTATTTACAGCTGACATTTTAAAACCCCCCAAAAACAACTGCACTGAATATAACACTATAGCCATTATATCAGGCACCAAATTTGTACTAAATTATTTGGAGAGAAGGCACTAATACACTAGCAAGAAAGATCTGGGTTTTGAAAAAGTGACACAGCAAACTTACCAAATGTCAATTTTGAGTCCATTAGAAACTAGGAATTGAATGGTGTCCACATGTCCACACAGATGAAGGGCTGTGTTACCCTGATAATCAGTGGCCAAGAGGTCAGCACCAAATTTGTGCAACAGCTGACAGATGTCTACATTTCCTCTGGCTGCTGCAAGGTGGAGCCCAGTTCGGCCACGACTATCACGAATATTTGGGTCAAAGCCACTTTCTAACAGCCGCTTGGAATAGTTAAAGTCTCCATCAATACAAGCCTGCAGCAGGGGCACATTGGTCTGGGAAGAATCATTTACAAAAACGTAGGACATTGCTCTGTTTGTATCTGGTGTGTGAAGCAAGCCTGTAGGTAAAATAAGAAGAGATGATGGTGAAGCCACATAAATGAATGCAACGCAAACTTCTAACAAATCACTGAATCTCTCAATTAAGACTGCAAACTTCTTAGGAATATAAGCTCTAAAGTCCTTATGCCTAACATATGAATTTAATATGCTGCATTCTTTTCTGGTGCATGGATAATGCTCCTTTTAATCCTGTTCACATTTGCAGGAACAGAACAGAAGAGCCTTGTTACTTCTGAGGACTGCTCTAAAGCACTATCATGAATGCAAGGCAGAAAGTAAACCCCACCTAGAAAGAGATCACACACTGTACTTTTCAATACCAAAAAGGAACTTTGTTATATCCTAGCTGTGGGTTAATTCCAGAAAGGAAGAGGCATGGGGGTTGGAGGAAGGAAGAGTCACCTTTTTATAATTCAGGGACCTAGGACTGAACACACATATTGGGCTTTGCCAATGTAATGCATCTAGTAACACCAATTAATAATGAAGCCACTTTAATGAGATTTCCTCATTCTTTAATCTGTTCCTTCTTTACATTCGAACTTCAGTACGCAGTAGCAGACAACTGCTGGAAAATGCATCATTATTGTGAGTACCACATCCTTTGTGCCACAGGAAATTACACTTTTCAACCATCTCCGTGCATGGTGTTTTGCTCACAGCAGTGGAGACCACAGTAAATAGGGTGTTAAATTCCATGAAAGAAAAAGTGAAAAGAACCGTTACAATTGGAGTAGCCGACCTCTAACACACGTGCCCGAAGTGGCACAGGCGGCCTCTGCATGGCACACAGCAGATCAGGAAAGAGGTAGGCAGCATGGTGACAGGTAGTGCAGGGAGTAAAAAGCAGAGCAAGAAGGGAGCAGAAAACAGAGCAGCAGGTCAGGCAGGGGAAGGGGACTGGAGTGGCACCTGGAGAGGGCGCAGGGCTAACTTGTAGCATGCTTGTCAAAAAGGTTGGCCCTCACTATGTTAGAAGACGTAAGAAGGACCATAATAACTCAAAAGGGGGACTAGAGCATGTGGGATGCTATTATTGCACTAGAACTTGCTCTAGCACAGCTATGCAGTAGTTATTAAACATGGGATTAAGTGCTCAGCTGGAGAAGGGCCTAAAAGTGGAAGGCAAGGGCTGGCTGCATCATAGATTACTTAATTATTATTTGATGAGCTATAATTCAACTGACTGACTAGATATAATAGCTTTGTGGATGAAACAAATTTTTAAGATGGATTTGGATAGGGAGAACATAATGTTCAGAAAGATCAAATAAGATGGTTTCATAGTTTCATAGTAGCTAGGGTCAGGAGGGACCTGAACAGATCATCTAGCCTGATCCCCTCCTACAGGCAGGAATGAATGCTGGGTTCACAAGACCCCAGACAGGTGATCATCCAACCTCCTCTTGAATTTGCCCAAGGTAGGGGCGAGGACCACTTCCCTGGGAAGTTGGTTCCAGATTTTGGCCACCCTAACTGTAAAATATTGCCTTCTGATCTCTAACTTAAACCTATTCTCCATCAGCTTATAACCATTGTTCCTTGTCACCCCAGGTGGTGCTGGGGAGAAAAGAGCTCTGCCTATTTGCTGTTGATCCTCCCTGGTGAGTTTGTAGGCAGCCACCAGGTCCCCCCTCAGCCTCCTCTTGCTGAGGCTGAACAGGTTCAGGTCCCTCAGTCTCTCCTTGTAGGGCCTGTCCTGCTGCCCTCTCACCAAGCGGGGAACCGTCTGACTCTTTAGTCCTCTGAACCCTCTCCAGGCTGACCACATCCCTTTTGAAGTGCGGTGCCCAGTACTGGACGCAGTACTCCAACTGTGGCCTGACCAAAGTCGCATAGAGGGGGAGTATCACCTCTCTGGACTGGCTTGAGATGCACCTTTTGGATGCATGACAAGGTATGGCTGGCCTTGCTGGCTGCGGTCTGGCATTGGCAGCTCATGTTCATCTTGGAGTCAATAGTGACTCCAAGATCCCTTTCC